AAATACAATTACGAAAAACAAAAAAAAAAAAAAAAAAAAAAAAAGAAAAGAAAAAGAAAATGAAATAAAAAAGGTAAATAAACAAATTTTAAAAAATATACATACATATAAATATAATATCTGAATGATAATACAGTTTATATTAAAGTTTTAGAATAATCACTTTCTAAAAATTACTCTCTATTAGGAGAAAATGAATATGAAATAATTTCGCAAATTTAATTAAACCTGTGGTGGTGGAATATGAGGAATTTCCGCTTGCGCTATTAGCTCATTGAAATGTTGGCCAAATGTATCATTTTCACCAGCTCTTATTACTTTCAATGTTTCTGATGTTTCAGGATTAAAATGTCGATCACTAGCGCCAAGCGCATGATCCGGTCCTGCACCAATTTGCTGCTTATATTGTTCTTCTGCAGCTTCACTAAAATATGCATCATTTTGAAAATCTTTTTGTTTTTTTCTTTTCATTCACAATAAATATTAGCATTAATTTTTGCTATGTAAAATTTAAATTTATTCATACAATAAGTTTTTTATGGCAATATTGACTTTTTTTTAAGCGACTTTTTTCTTTTTTTTCTTTTTTTCTCTTTGTTCTTTTTTTTTTTTTGCTTAACATTATGACAAAATTTGTATGGATGAAGTAGCATGGATTATGCTTCATTTTAATTATTCATCAATAAATTTGAATATGAATATGAAGATCTTTAGCCTACGTAATGTTACTTACTAATTCTATTTGACATTTAGTAATTTTGAAAAAAAATTTATGATTTGAAAAATGGATATAAAATCTTTGATATTTTAAAGAATAAAAAAATAAATTATTAAATGTTAAAAAAGCGAAAAAAAAGTGACGAATTAAATGTCAAAAACGGGGAAAAAATTACGGTTTCAATTTGTTAAATATTAGTATTGGAAAAAAATTATTAAATTATTTTTATTTAATTAAAAATGTTTCATGTATTCATTACTATTATTTCATCTCTCCTTTTTTTTAGTTTAAATTAAAATTTGCTCAGAAGCAATTATATTTTCAAAAAATTTTTAACATTTAG